GATTTCATTGATGATTAAGGTATTCCTGGCCTGTCTTTTTTTCCTAATTACAGTAGAGTTTGCCGGTTGTGCTACGTTCTCTGTGAATACCAGTATTGACTCAAGCTGTAAAAAAAAATCTTATTTAGATTTCCTTCATTGTTGAAATTGCTTATTGTGTTCTGTAGTGTATAATTTTATTGTGTTGGAGGTGTGTTTTCAGATCTCCTCTACATTGATACTAGATTTGTTCATCCTCCAGTACTGGTAATTTTTCTTTCAAAAGCTTGAAAATAACTTTGCATAGATAAGAAATAGAATAGACCTGTTTTCTGGTTTGACAGACCCGAAAGAAGGGAAAATAGAAGGAAAAAAAAACAGAGAAAGAAAAGATTAACGAAACAATAATTGTCTGAGAATTACTATCATTTTAAATTCAGGTTATGCCCTGGCTGCCATTCAGTCGTCTCAGGCTGGTAGCTTTTGCCTGTCTCGTACAAACGCTTCATGTTTTCCCACAGAGCTGCAGATGCCGCTTCCCTTTTCGTAATCTGAGCTCTAAATACCTACCTGCTCTCCACTGAAGTTTAGTTTTACACAGTTTGAGAGCTCTTTGGGGACGGTTTTTACTGATTTTGGATTCTGTAGTATCTCTGAAACCTGGGAAAAAAGGCAGGAAGTCACAGCAATGAGGAGTTTTGTGGAATGAGGATGGGATCACCTGAGGTGAGATTTGCGTATAAAATTTGTGTGAGCATAGAGATGTTGCTATGGTCTGTGATTATTTACATCTTTCATACTGGCAAAACTGCTGTAGTAGGCATAGTGCTACAAAAAATGTTCTTTTGCCGATGCTGCTTCTTTCTCTTGAGGAATTAGTATAAGCTGTAAACTAGAAAAATCACTTTTGCTTGCTGCTATAAACTGTATTTGCAATAGGCAAGTGGATCAAACTTTCTGAGGGTTATTGGCATGCCAGAGCGTCTATTCAGAATGGTCACAAGAAATGGAAAAATCAAGAAACATACTCTTGGAAGTACCTATTTTTCTCACTGCTTACGTGAGCTTGCCACTCTTGTCACTGAACAATAGTTTAGGGTAATGCTCTGTTACTGTCTCACGCTGTGTAACCAAATGCAGGTTGTTCCTGCTGTTCATACTGCAGATAGTAGGAAGATGCACTGGTGAGGTGAGTTGAGGCCCATGTTCTAGCAAAAAGTTCATTCCTGATCATCCCTAGGAAAGAGTCGTCTTCCCCATAGCATCAGTTTTCACTTTGTCATGGATCTTCCATGACTGCCAGTAAATCTGAACAGTCAAGTTGCTTAAGGAAAATGGCAGGTGTTTAAAGTTTAATGAGCAATTGAATGACACTGAAATGTCATGCAGTTATTTGTGAGAATCTTCTTGGCATTATGGAAATGCATGAATAAAGCTTTGCTCTTTGAGAGCCACTTTCACAATCAGTCCAATGCAGAGCTGTGAGACTTGGAGGTTTCAGTCCAGAAGGGTTGGATCCCACCCTGAGTTTCATTTTGAGTTGCAGGGTCAAAGAACTACCAAAAAAACAATGAACTCAACTGCAATGGCCTAACTCTTCTGAGAGCAGCAGCTCCTGTGTTCTTCACTGAATCTGTAGTTGTCCAAAAGTTGATGGAGAGGCATCCAAAACCTTCCTTTGATAACTTCCTGAAAAAACAGTCTGGATAAAACAGTTCGGCCTGTAAGTACAGTTCAGTTCAGTATAAAAATATTCAGCTCTAGCTCTAAGTGAAAACTGTTTTTCATGTATGCCTAGGATGGCTTGATTTTTGTCTTTCGGGTTTTTTTGCTCTTCCATGTAGCGACCTACCCTTGGAGAAAAGCTGAGGGTTGCCAGTGAGGCATATTTGCAACTTGAGCAACTCTTGTCTGAACCACATCTGTGAGCCTTTTGTAAATGAATCAAAATGCAGTTATGTCTTTTACACCAATATTGATGTGGTCCGTTTTTCCAGCCAAATGGTCTTTAACTGTATTTTGAAGATCTATTCAAAGATAAATATTGCTGCTGCTTGCCTTTTTTTTTTTTCCTCCAGTGTTGGTTTATTTCTCTAGATTTTTTTTTAATCATCTTTCAAGTTTTGACAAGAATCCAGTGTTTGCCTCAAATGACAATGACACAGGACAACCTCTCTCTGTATTCTGGCGATTAAGCATAATCATTACTTCTAACATTTGCTAATCTCCAGAATGTCCAGAATATTGTGTTTAGCCTTTCTAAATACCTCGTTAATCCAGCAGTAATGCACTATTGATGTTACAGTTAAGTGAATCCAAGCAATAAAATGATAATCTAGTGATTGACTAACCATTACCCAAGGTAGGCATAGAATTTTTCATAACATGGAGCCAATTTGCAAGGCAGTTTATCTGGTAAAAGTCTGTGCTAATCCCCAAAATATGACGTTTGTCAGTCCTCATGTATTCGCTTGCAATATATATTGGTAGGTAAAACCCTGTGTGTTCTGGCAAGTTACCTAATTTGCTTTAGTTATTTTTTCCTTTGAGAATTAATGATGGTTTCATCTGTATGCTACCTCTTTGAAATAACAATTCAGACACAACCCGAAGGCTGCAGCCCTGCAAAAAGCCCAGGTTAGGTGAATGTGCTCAGGATTGTGACCTGCTGTGTGTTTATTTTGAGACTAATTTTAGCAAGAATATCAACCCTGATCCTGACACAGATTTTCACTGAAAGCTCTGTGTGTCTTTGTCTCTTGATTTTTTTTTCTCTGCAAATAGGTTGAGTGTGTACACAGGAAAGGCGGGAACTGTATGTTTTTCCCCCAGCACTTTATTTCCATAAGAGGAAGATCAACAGCAGAGCTTTTCTCCTGACTTTAACAGCCCAGGCGGTTCACAAACAGTGCATCCACACTATAAAGTAAATGGGGAAAATAGAATAAATCTTGTCAAGTGGTTGTTATATGTTGCAGTAAGTCTATAATGTATTCTTTGTGCACTGCATAACTAAAGATGCAGTTAGTAATCTAAAATAGACATCTGACTAAGCAATTGTAACACCCAAAACATTGGATAGCTGAACTCCAGGAACATATAAATAACAAACCCACCAATACAGAAAACTGTGGTAGGCAAAGCCCCTGAATCTCGTCTCCTTCAGGAGTGTGTATGAGGATGAATTCCCTAAGTTAAAGAAGGCACTAGGTACAGGTGAGGGGAAAATCATGCATGTAATGGGAAAATTGAGTTTTGGATGCACATTTTGATTTGTAGTCTTTTACTTGGCAAGGTCGTTTATGACTTTGTTTGAGGTCAACTGACTTGAAAACAAAACCTTTGCAGAACTAAAATATTAAGTGATAAAAGAAAAAAAAAAGTCCAGTTTTGAGGGAACATGTCTCTCTTGCTTAGAAATGGGGGGCCAATGTTACGCCAGGTAGCAGACAGATGGGTGAATGCACCTGAGTGGCTTTCGTGCATGACAGCTGTACCCATTAGTCTGCATTTGCTATCTCGCTATCTCCAGAGCCATATGTTCTTTTTCTTTAAATAAACAGGTATATAATAGCTAGGACAGATGTGAAGAGCAAAATGACATAAGCAGAGGTATGATTTTGAACTCGAATCAAATGATTAATCTTGACACCATTAGTCTTACCTGGTTTCTGATAGAGCTGAATCGGTGCATGCTGTGCAGTTGCTTTCAGTGTCCCTGTTAATGGAGGGGGAGCTTTAATCGAATTGTAATCTCAGTTTCTATCTGTCTTCTTATGATTCATTAGTGTTTGTAATTCCATCCTTTTTAAGCTTATTGGCTTGTGTATTGCTTACTAATATGCTTCAAGAATGTTGCAGATTAATTTCGTAGACAGTCTAGTCCTCCTCCTCCGCAGAGCAGCTCACAGAGCAGATTTTGTTTTGTTTAATTTAATTTCACCAGTACAGTTCCATTGAGGTAAATACTCTTTTGAAACATCTTAGAAAACAATGGCATTAAAAGCATCAAATATAAACATGAGGGAATTAGCATTAAATTACAGTGAAACAGCAGGTGGAAATGTAATCGTATAGACAACTGCCGTATAGCAATGAATCCAAAGCAGTTACAAAATTTACTGTTGTGGTACCCGTATTTTGTTCAAAAAGATACAGCAAGTGTGTCAAAATGTTAGAAGAGCTAGCACACAGTGTCTCAAAAGTGCAATGAATAGGTGTCATTTCTCCAGTCAGTGAAGAGCTCTTTGATTTCTACTTTAACCTCAATTCTAAAATACCAAAATTTATTTTTTGTTCAGGAAAAGGTCTCTCTCAAAATAGGGTATACCCTTATGAAGCTCCTCTTGTTCTTCTTTCTAGTTTTACCAGGGGTAGCTAGGAAATAAGTACATCTTTAAAACGTGAACAGAATTTTATTCTCACTATTTTCTACCTGCAATTTATTTCTTCATCATCTTCTCCAATCCTTGATGTTAATAGGCATCAGTTCACAGCAGTTTTTTATCCGACATGTTATAGGATAGGCATTGTGAAAATCAAGGAGAATAAATGAAGATCCTTAAAATGCTTTTTTATAGATGCTTATCAAATTTTAATTCTCACACTGTTATCATCAGTAATAAGATAAAGACTTGTGATATAAACACAGTTCTAGAGTACTTTATCTACCAATAATTTTAGCATAAGGTGTTGCTGCTGTTTTTGTGTTCATGCTTTTTCTTAAGGTATTAGAAGGAAATAGTGTGTCATAAACATGGCATTGGAAGGCGATGGTGCACATGCCTTATAAAGCATTGCCAGGAAGGTGGGAGGGTGTTCTGTGGGTCTGACCGAGCCCCGTTCTGGAAGATGTGATTCTGTGCAAGATCCCTGGGAGAAGGTAGCGAAGTCCCAGACTATTCATTTGTATCTTGGCTAGCAACTGTTGATACGCAGTTTATAATTCGACTTTGAGGCTTCAAATGTCACCGCAGATGTGAAAATGAACCAAGCATATTTTCAGTGAGGCCTGCGTGTACCTTGTCTTTTGGATGTACAATCTCTGTGCATCATCATGTTTCTTTCTTCACATTCTGTTAATTTTTTATGAGCTTGAGCAGAACTGTGAAGCACAAGCTGTTTTCATGTAGATGGGTTTTATGGTGACTAAACATTGGAAAAAGGAAAACAAATAATTGTCCCGATATACACATTGCCTGGAATGAACAGATTGGTTTAAAATGCACCACTCCGGTGCCTGTATAGGCAGCAGTCCTGTGTGATTCACTCCTTTTCTTCTGGCCTCCTTATGCTAACCTTGATTTTTCAGCCTTCGGTTTATCGAAGTTTGTTGCTGTTTTAACTCATATAAAAACTGTACACCTGTTGTTTCATTGTGGAGGTGAAAACTGAGTGTCGTGGAATAATTAGGTAAGAATCATTGGGTCTTTTCTACATTTCAGAAAAACAGTAAGAATTTTTTTTTCTTCTGTTTTTCATCTTGGATGTCGTAAATGTCAGATGCATGAAACCAGAAATGGTTGTAAGAAAAAGAGCTAATGCTACATGGCCGTTTATGTCACTGTTTCTTTATGTTTCCTAATGTCCATCGGCATGTTTACATAGAAGTGCTTAATTTTGTTTTGAATTCCACTCAGTTCCTGGGTTCATAACTGCTTTGTATCAGGGATTTCAATGAACTTTAAAGTTTAGACTGTGTGACAAAAAAACTAGCAATAGTAAAGAAAAAAAAAAAATCCCTTTCTGAATACTAATAATGTTATTTTGAAGCTGCCTTCTTCTGTCAAGCGCATCTTATTTTCCATAAAGCTTCATACTTCTGTAGCCCTTTTGATTTATCTTTTAGTGTTTACTCATTCAGTTGTCTATGTTTCTTCAGTCACTTTTGCTGATTTCTAAATCTTTTTTCTTCAGCTTTTTAATGTGGAGTAACCTAAAATCTGTTCCATATTCCATTGGTCAGGGAGCCTTTGATTTAAAGTGGCAATTGTTAAGGTGCTAGTGTTGTTTCCTTCTTTTCGTGTCCTATTTTTCTATCTATTACCATATATTGGCAAAGTAATGTAGCTTCTTACAGTGCCGTGTCCTCCTCCCAGAAGGTTGTTCCAGCTTGGAGCTCGGTTGCTGGTACAAATTGCCATATTCATTGGCACGGAATGGAAGGTGGCATCCAGGTCCCCATAGTTCTTCCCTCTTGTGTCTCTTTCCTAACTCAGAAATGTGTCATAGGCAGGTTTTACTGTCCTACTTTCAAGATTTCTTTTTCAAAACTGGGTAAATATCTGTCCTCATTTGAAGGCCTTCAAGATGAGCCTCCACCCCTCCGGTGTTTTTGCTTCCAGAGAGAGCAGTGCGGTCAAATGGGCAGCGAACAGCTGAGGAGGAGGATGGCGCTGGCTGTGCCGCGGGCTCGCGCCCCGCTGCTGCTGCTGCTTCCAATTCTTCATTCTCTCCTGTAGTCATTTACACCGAGGATGCTGTTACATGAGTAGTGAGTGCTCTTCTGCTTGGCAGTTACTTACGCTGAACCTTGTGCCACAGCTCTTTGCGTTTCGTTTGTACAAGACTTGAAGTATTCAAGGCTGTTAGGGGGGCAAAAATCTCTGTCTGGCTTGCGCTATTTCTAGGAGAAGGGAGTCTCAGGGCTGGGGTGGGGAAACCTGCAAAGACCTACAAATTATGCTCTATTATCTCTGCCCGTGAATGGTTTCTCTTGTGAGCAAAGGAGGTCGTATTTTAGAGAAGCAGATAAAACACTTTTTGCTACACTTTACTTTTCTCCACTTTCTTTGTGCAAGCTCTATTATTTTTATTTTGTTTTAAGCTCAGTCATAGACAGCCTGAAACTGATGTGAGGGCTTGACTGGAACATGTGTTCAGGAATCCCCGCAAGGAACGGGATTGTGGACCAACCCCCCATGCAGCAAGGCTGCGTTGAGCCGAAGGAGCAGAGGGGCTCTCCATTCCAGCAGCAGTTTGGCTCTTGCTCTTCTCGCCTTCCAGTTGAGACTGATGGTCACATCCGTGGCTCACGCTGGTGCAGGAGGCCTGAGGGGCATGGAAGGGAATCCAGGTCTTTACCTCTTACTGCTTCTTGTAACGAATGCTGTAATTCATTCATCCTGAATGAAGATTTGAGTATGTTACCTGGGGTACCCTCAGGCCTCAACTCTACAGTCAGTTTGAAATATATTAACCTTAACTTCCAGAGCCAACAGAGCCTTGGTATAAGGTGCTAGCTTGCTGGGCTTTAATTACATTTTGTCCCACTGCATGTCCCAGGTGTGAATTCCTTTTTGTTTTGGCTCACCCAGCTTTAACGTTTTGGAACAGGCTGCCCAGGGCAGTGGTGGAGTCCCCATCCCTGGCAGCGTTCAAGAAACGTGTAGGTGAGGCCCTTAAGGACATGGTTTAGCAGGCAGGGTGGGGAAGGGCTTACGCTTGGACTCAATCATCTTAAAGGTCTTTTCCAACCATAATGACTCTATGAACATAAGAAGAAAACATTCTTGTTGCAAGAACTGAGAGAATTCATAGTTTGTAGCTTAAAAAAATGTGCAGTAAAATCTGTTAAGGTGACTAAATTTACTGGCCTTTACAGAACATTTTTGATATGATCTTTTTAATTGCGGAGTAGGTGTTCTAGGAGCTATTAGAACAACTACCCCTTTATCTGTTTCACTGTAGTTTTACAATCTGTCAAAAGAAAAAAAAAAGAAAAATAATTTGTTAACAAAAATGAATACCTCAATTGGTCAAGTATTAGGAAGCTTTAGGAAATAAAGTTTTGTTACAAGAAAGAAGCCCCTCCTCAACTGTAGTTTAAGAAACATCTCTGGTGGCAGCACTATGAGAACCTTTAAAAAAAGCCACCAAATGTCCAGGTTGGTCCCTGGGAGTGTCATGGAGGTTTGAACAGGGAGGAGAAGGAGCAACATATTGAAAAGCTGCTTGAGACTGCATAAAAGATGCTCATCATACAGTAGATGAGTTTCATTGCTTAGGAAGTTGTATCCAGAGAGGATGGATAAAGATATATATATATATATATTTTAATGAAATATAGTCAGGAAAAAGTTGACATGACCGAAAGCTGAAGAAAATAAATAACCATACTGGAATCTACATGAGCATTTTGTGCCATATGCTCTAGGCAGTATTGTAATACCAAGATGACTTCAGTGGTTGCAAAGATAATTTTTGCTGCTCTTGATTTAGAGCTGTTGTCAGAGCATTTTTTATTCATCTTACATGGGTAGGTAGTAAAATTAGAGCTCAATTTTTAGGTGTGTTATAAAGGTAGGATTGTTTTGGCCATCAGTTGTTGCCTCAATCACATGGCTCAATGCTTCCCATCGCATGTCTATTTTGGGATCCTTATTAATGTGTTGAGTTTTAACAATTTAGGCTGAAATGCAAAAAATTGGGCATCTGCACAGCAGGAGAGAAAGGAGGAAAGGAGTATGTATATACCCACGTGCACACAGGTTATGTATATTCAGAGAACAGGTCAGGCTATTGCTTATTGAAAAACCTGTTCACCTTCTCCTTGGAGGTAGCGTGCCCCCATTTGGCAAGACGCTGCTCTTTGCGTAGCAAGGGCTTTGGGCGTTTTGTCCTTTCTTTTCTCCCAAACCTGCCCAGAGTTGGTTGGGCTGAGTGCACTGTTGAATAACTGTGGTTTGCAACTACTCACAAGGGATGTCCCTGGTTTAGAAGAGGGCATCCCTGGAGACCTCTTGGCTGCACGGCTGACCCGCTCCAGCTGTGCCCGCTAACCAGGGCGCTGGGTGCCCCGTTATCCCCGTGTGCCGGCAGGGCCCGGCAGCGCCGAGGGGCGCCAGCCTCTCGGTAGCTGTTCTGAATCACGCTGAAAACAACAATAGGTCCCATCACCCGTGCGGAATCATGGCAGTTCGGACTTGAGATGGACAGCACGTGAGAGGGAACTGCAGCGTTTCCACGAGTGGGGCCTCTGAGGAGCTGTGCGTGTGCCGCCCTGGGGAGGCATCGCCCTCCCGAGCCGGGGCGCGTGCGCGTTTGCTGCGCTGCTGCTGGTTGCTGTGGACTCATCGAACATACTTAAATCCAATCCAACTTATTTTACTGCAACTATACAAATGAAATAAGAATTTTCAAGTAACTGAGCATTAGCCAGTTCAGTGTTCAGAAAAATGATTTTTAAGTCTTCATATTTAGATTTTCTACTAAGAACAAGCTATAAAGCCTGGAATTGTTTGAATAGCAGTAGAGATGCCTGAGCTGAATTGATGAGATAAAACAGCATCTTGGTTTTTCCTTCTGAGAGTGTCAGAAACGTTTGGTGTCACTTATTCCCTCAGTTAGAAGTGTGCAAGTGGAGGGACGTGTTTCCCCAGCTCTAGCTCTTCGCGTCACACAGGTGCTGTTAGCTCTGAAGTGCTGGTGTTCCAGTCCAACTTTCAGTTACTGAAACGTCTGTTTGTTTTCACCCAGAAAAATATCTGTTTTCTGAACCAAGTAACTATTTAGAATAAGGAAACAAAGTTCTTAACCAGCTTTCGGCCAACTTTCCAAAGTGTGCATGTGCTATTAAATATTAGTCCTTTTAGGTTCAGTCATGGCCTTCTAGACTTGAATTTGTTTATAACTGAAAATTTGGTTTAATTGTAAAAATCCTCAAAAATTCTTAATCCTCAGAAGAAACAATGTGATTATTGTTCATAGGATGAAAGCACCAATGCCAACTTCTAACACAGCTTCTGCTCCAAAGAGTTACGCAGATTTATGATTTAGTCCCTTCATCTTAGCTTTTAAAGCTACTTTTTCTGCACTTCAGTTATGGTTATCTAGTAGGTCTGTATAATATAATACTCATTCCTCTCTGGTTGTAGTAATGATATTTAGATAGCAAATTTTTATCTTGAAAGAATGGAAGTTCCTAAAGAATCCAAGAAAGTTTCCAGTGCATGATGAACCAGGATTCCAAAATTTTGAAAAATATTCCTGAGTGGTTTTTTTTTTAAAAAGGGGGATGTTTCCTAG